AGAAATGCCCATCCAAAACTCCAAGACTCCCACGACACAAGCCTTACAGTAAATACTAAATTTACTGTAAACTGTTATTACAGATATCATTGAGGTTTTCTGTTGCTTGTCATGTCCAGGATCAGAAACCAATTTGCCTTACAGATCTTTGTTATGTGGTTGGAGAGCAATTGCACACTCCAGATACAGCTTCTGGGAAATCTCTTGCCACTGCTAGAGTTGAGGGCCTGAGTGCAGATGGTCGCCTCAGCTGTGAGATGTTTCTGAACCCTGCATTTGCTGATACTGATTAAATTTTTTTTTGCTGCTCTGAGTGCAGGGAAGGCCTGAGAAACTTCAAGTTTCAAGAATAGGGATCTGCTATGAAGGTTAAATAAAATTTGAATTAAAGCAAACTAAACTCCACAGTTGGAGAGAAGGCTGATGCATTCATCTTCTAGACCTATATTTGCATGTTTTCCCCAGTGAAGACTGTAAGGTAGCAAGGCAGAGCTGTAACCTTTTACTAAGTTTTTTTACAGTTAATAACAGGTCAGACCATTACTTCCATTTGGTATCCAAATGGTAACACAGTTTATTATGGATGACACTAAGGAAATTACCATCTTCCTCTAGAAATTGCTTGTGTCAAGTTTATAAAAAATGTCATCTATTTCTGCAGTATGAAAAATAAGGAGGAGTGATGGAAAATTACACTGAACCTTGAGCTGTGTGAGAATGGCTCAGGTGCCAGCCCAGCCATTGTGCTCACAGGCACAGTGGTCGTTACTTCTTCAGGTAGAGATCTGCCAGTCTGTTACTCTGCTGTACCTCCCAGCACAAATATCAGATTAATTTCACAAGTGGGTGAACTGATGAGGCACAGAAATGTTATGAGCACATAGTAAAGCTCATAAATTCCACACTGTAAGTAGGCTTGCTAGCAAGGAGGCCTGTGCCTTGTGTTGGGCTGCTACTCATTCCTACTCTGGGAATGAATGTGTGACTTGCTTGCTGCTTTTGAACTAGCTTTTATTCCAATACACTCACAAGCTTCACTGAAAGTTGTTTTTGAGTTGCACAGAACTTGTAAGGAGTAGGTGTTGAAGTTTGTTTTAGGAGAGACACTGCCACTAACTTTTTAGGGGCTTTGGATCAGGTCCTGGGTGAGGTCCTGAGCATGGCAGGTCTTCAAGTGCAAGACCAGATCAAGGGCACAAACATCTATTTTATTGTCTTCCTTTATGGTACCAAACCCAGCTCTTAATCTCTAATTTTACTTTAATTGAAATATATGTGAGTGAAAAGTATCATATTTGCTGTCCTTTGCTGACTCGTGTCTCGAAGGTCTAAATCATAACTAAGTCCATATTTGCATGGCAAAACTCTCCCTCCTTTTTCTCCCTAGAGGTAAATCCCCAAATATTGCTTCCATTAAAGGTCCATGTCCAGGAAGAAAAAAACCAACTCCTCTGTTCTTCCCGATTCTCCTTGCATTTCTTTTCAGATTTTCAAATGATGCCTCCAAAAATGCACATATTTGGGTATTCTAAAGAGTGATACTGTTAGCAGACACTTATCAAATAGGCTCAGCTTCCCATAGGAGCTAGCCCTTTAACAGTTATCTTGTGTCTTTTGTCTTATTAATTCACTAACTGGGAAAGGAAAGATAAATGCAGCATCAGACCATGGATTATGCCCATAATGAAGGGTTAGGCATGTATTTTCCATGGAAGCCTGCAGAGTCATCTGGGTCTCTGAGGAGGTTTCATGTTTTCTTCATAATGGATTCTGTCTTTGTTCAGTTTTCTGACTGTCCTCACATTTTTATTTGGAGAAAGGGCTCACATTATATGATCCCTTAAGCCATGTTGTGAAGAATTCCTGCCCCATGGGATGCCTCAAGCCTCAACGTTTGCGTCCTTTGGTGACGGAGGTTGCTGCCACAAAAGGCTCTCTAGGAGACAGGGACCTTGAGAAAAAATATCTGGCATCAGCAACTATTTTGTGACCTTTCCATCATTGGAGTGCCTGGCTGTTGCTCTGCTTTATTGGTCTGAATATTTTCCAAGGGGGGAATGTGGAAGGTGGTAACAACAGCACAAGGATTATTTTTGGATGTTATAGCCTTGATTGGGACTGGTGCAAAGAAGGTGAAGAAGAGCACATGAGAGGCAATTGCTGAAAGCATGAGTGCCATTTCAGGTGAAATTTCAAAGTGAAGTTTAAGGGAAAATTCTCGAAGTTTGGGGGAAAAAACTGATTTGAAAGGAAGACAGAAACATCAACAAAAAAATAGCTAGTAAGCTTAACTCTAAAAAAATAAATTACTTCAAATTAAGCAAGCTTTTTGCTGTGATCAATGGCTTTACAATATAATTTGCAGCAAATATAATTTTCAAACACAAAACTAAAAGCTCCAATTTTCAATGTCTTGTTTTTAGACAAAAATATAGTTTCTACAGTGTACAGCTTGAGAAAGCTGACTTATGACATCAGTAAGCAAGTGGCATATGTTTTTCAGGTGGTTATTCCCCAGTGTCTTCCTATCCCTCGTCTTCATGTCTATAGAAGGCTCAGGGATTCCTTCCAGGCCTTTTTAAAATTAAACTGTTTTTCAGAATCATGGGCTAACAGATGGAGAAGAGATGTTGTCATCAGCTAGCCAAAGTAAACACAGTTGCAATGAGTTTTCAGCAATAGCTATGCAGAATTGTGCAATTCAGTCATCTTTCAGTTAAACTTTGGGAGAATTGCATAAATCTATGGATGTACCTGAGAAGTGTTCCTATGTTCCTGTCAGGTGCTTCAGTTTGTCTTGGTAATTTTGGACAGAGCTTCATCTACATGAAGAATGTGAGGTTTTGGAGCAAATAAGAGATTCTATTTGCACCTGCAGGTGCCAGCAGAAGAGCTGGTGTGCCCTTGCTCTGCTGGCTCACTGGTGGGAGCAGTGGGGTGTCAGTGCCTCTAAATCTGCCTTTGTGCTGAGGTGAGTGATGGTCTGCATGTGACTCTGATGAAAGAAGGTAGCAGGGCAGGCTTTAGGTGGTCTTGATCCCAGGACTAAACAACTTCTGAGCTTAGGGTTTCATGGGCACAGTGGAAGGATTTGAGCCAATTTGCATTGACCCAACAATGCTGGGTGCTTCCTCACCATCCCATGAGAGTCCTGCATAAACGGGTGTTGGTAAAACCTGACGTGTTGTCTTTAATTTTTCAAACACCAAATTTCCGGAGCTGAATGGGGGAGCAAATATCACATGGAGAAGTAAAAATTTCCCCAAATCAACTAAAAAATCCAGACACTTGCTCTGGGTTATGCTCTAACCTACCAGTTGATATGCTCTTGTTGCCTGTTCAGTAATTTGTCGGGAACAGGGAAGAGGAATTCAGACTTGGCAAGCTCGTGCTGCAGACAGATTTTGTCAGATGAAATCCCAGTAGACTTTAGTCCAACATCAACAGCTCCTGAGCTATCACATGGGAATGTGCAGGGAGATAAAACCAACATCCTAAAGGGTGGATCCTCTATTTTAAGGTGCAGAGAAGGGAATCTGGCTAATGTAACTTTTTTCCTTTCTTTGTGTAGTTGTTCAGAGAAATGATGGAAAATACTGGTTCCAAACACAGATACAATTCTGTCTCTTCTTGAATTCTTCACTATATCTAAAGTTGCTTAACTTTTCTCTCTTGCCTTTTCCTATATGTGAAGAGAAGTTAATCCTATCTGCCTTTACCTCAGAGGGATTGTGAGGGCAGAGTTTGGAAAAGAATTTGCTGTCTATGCAAACAATCCACAAGTGACTGCAGGGGAAAAAAAACCACCCAGACCTACCGTTGGGAAACTCCAGCACCAGTCTACTGCTTTCTGGAAGTGGAGTGTTCTGTTACATAAACATCCTTGAAGCTTTGCAGAAGGGGTGACATTCACATGTGGGGCCTGACTAATTGGGCTTTGTGTGTGAAGAACGGGGATGGAGAGGATAAGGAAATGAAATCCCTAAGGTGCAAGCTGGGCCTCCTTCTTCCCATGGCCTGTACTGTTGCTTACGTGTTGAAAAGGGGTCTCAGAGCCTCTTGTACCACTGAGCTGGGAACTCTGTGGGCCCTGAGACCCAGACTGCATCCTAACTCTGCCTTCCCCAGCCATCCGGGAGGTGTCCTGCTCAGCCCAGCAGCCAGTTACAGCAGCCTCCAGCAGTCACTCAGAAAGCATCACTGCCCAGAAATTGCTAATGTCCCTTCATACCAAAATCTACGTTGACTCAGTGGCCCTGGTCTATTTAGGCACAAACACCATGCAGAGAGAGCGTAACAAACAGTGGGAGAAGGGGGCCATGAACTTCAGCAGCTCCAAGTCTCTTCCTGGAGGAGTCTGCACCATTCCACTGATTATACAGGGAATCCAGATCCCATATTTGCTGCTTTGATGGCCAAAGTTAGGTGGCACCAACACCCTTCCATCCAAAACTCACTTGAGACTCAGGGCTCAGTTTTCCTCAGTCCCACACCTTGTGGTAAAGTAGAGCTGCAACAAAAGTTTAAAGTCACCGCTTCATTTTGTACAAACTTTTTAATGCTTTGTCACTAATCCTGACGAAAGAAAATAACCTGTTTCCCATCTCTTCAGTGAAGACTATGTGTAGCAGGCATGCAAATAACTTGATAGTGTCTACTACAAAATTCACATATATATTTTTCTATATGTTATGACAAACACAGAATAATGTTTTGCAGGTTTTCCGTTCTGTGTAGCAGCTCTCTAGGTAACAGGTCAGATTTAGCAATTGGGATGTGAAAGGAATGGATTCACAAGCTGAAAGAGGCAGTGCTAAACTGGTTAGGAAAGAGTAAATTCTGAATTCCCAACTCTTTTTCTTTTCACAGCTGTTAAGAGTTCAGTGGGTTGAACTGCAATCCTTCAAGTTCATCTGTTGACTCCAACACAAAACTATTATAAACTGTGCCTCTAAAACACGTGATGAAACATTTCTTGAGAGCTATTTATTCCAACTGCAGCAGAGGAAAGTTTTCAGAACACCCGGCATTTGGTAGAGGAAAGGTCTCTTGAGCTTTGCAAAAGGAGGAATTATTTGCATACCAACGTAAGTTGCTTTTTGATTATTTTTTTCCTGTATCATTGAACAAAATAATACCTCTAACTTTCCCCCACCATGGAAACATGATCAAGTAGCACAAAACTATATTTAAGTGCCTAGTAGGGTATTTCTATATAGTTTTCTTTCTTTAATTACGTGGATTGGGTGTTTTATAATTCAGCTTAGAACTCAAGATAATTTAGTATTATGTGTTTTCTTTAATGTTTTCTGTATCTTAATAAGAGTTCATGCACTTAAAATAGTAATGTAGAGGTATGATAGATTGTGAACTTCAATCAGGTATGGGGTTTGCAAACTTACAAGTAGCAAGGAAGAGCTGGGGGCAATCTTTTTTCAGTTGTTTCTTTTATATCTTTGCTCTGAAGTTTGATCTTACATATCCATGCACATTCTCCTCCAGGCTTTAGCTGTGGTAAAACACTTTCCATGCTGAAGATGGACCATGCAAATGTGACCCAAGCCATGCTTGATGCTGAATCCCGCAGCACAGAGAAGAACAACAGCAACGAGTATTTTTACATTCTGATTGTCATGTCTTTCTATGGGATCTTCCTGATAGGGATAATGCTTGGCTACATGAAATCCAAAAGAAAAGAGAAATCATCCAATTTACTTCTGCTCTACAAAGATGAGGAGAGAGAATGGGGGGAAGCTGTAAAGCCTCTACCAACCGTGGCGGGGCTGAAATCTGTCCAGATCCCCATGATGCTGAACATGCTGCAGGAGAGCATGGTGCCATCCCTGTCCTGTGCCATCTGCTCCATGGAAGGCAGCAGCGTGAGCTCCGAATCCTCCTCCCCAGATGTGCACTTCACCATCCAGGAGGAAGTGCTGGATACTGAACTAGGAGAAGTGTCAGAAACACTCCTCAACGAGAGCAGCGAGGGGTCTGTGGAAAACATCCATAAGAACTCCTAGCACTTGCAGGGTTCCCTTGATCAGCTGCCAAAGCGTGAGTGGAGCTCCCACTAAGAACTTGTGGCTCTACTTTTCTGCTCTCCAATGAACTCTGAACAGGTATCTGTGCCCCTGGGCCAGAGGCACTCCCGAGAGCTGGCAGGACAAGGAAGCAGTGGTACCCAACCCCAAAGTGTAACTTGCACGTAATTGGGTTGCTTAATTTTAATTTTTCCATTATTATTTCTTACTATGAGAGCTAAGAACAAGGAGAATGTACATGTTTTTTCTAACGAGGTAATTATTACTGGTATGTCTCTGCATATTTCAGATTTCTGTAAATATCTGGGAAACGTTTAGGGAAGTTACCCTAATGCAAGTGCCTGGTTCTTAAAGACTATGGATAATGCTTGTTCACACAAAACTGTGATAGACTAGAAGTACTTTTACTGTGTTTTTCTTATGACAAACCACAGCCAACAGCAGATTTGCTCAATGAGGCCTCAAAAGCTGAAGACTTGTTGATGTTGTACTTGAAGGGAGATTGCATCATGTCTGGAGACTGCCTTTAGGCACAGAAAGAGTGAAAGACAAAGGAGAAAAAAAAAAAGGCACCAAATTTCTAGGCAGTTTGTAAAGTCCAGTTTCAGATCCATGTCATTTATAACTGTCTTTGCTTAAGTTATACCTGTACTGGCTGGGTCAGGTTCACCACCTTCTGCTGCAATTCAGCCTGTGACTGAGTTACTAGTAGGAAAAGTGGTTTTGTTTTTTGCTTTTGTATTTTTTTTAAAGATATGTACATTTGGTCACTAAAGGCAAAGATCTGTAAGTTAAAGAAGATGCTAAAACATCTTTGTTACAGGCTGTAAGATGTAGAAAGGCTTGAACAAATGCTGCTCTGTTATGCCCCCTTGAAAAATAGGTGGAATTCCAAATAGAATTTAACCTAGTAAGGGTGTATTCCTGGCCCCACTGAAGTCATCAGCTGAGTCAGGGACAGGCACAAGATTTTGTGCTTCTCTGTTGGAGGTAAATTCTCCATTTGAGGTTGGTAAAACTGTACTCATTTACATCATTAAAGAATCTAGACTTTCTGCTCTGTTTAAGCCAGTGTAGGTAAACATTGCATTGCATCTTTTTTTTAATCAGCTTGCATGTGACACATGCATTTCTATAAAGCTATTAGCAACCAGGTTTTAAAACTACCACAAACTTCCCCCCCCTCGTTTAATGGTACTGTGACATTTTTCAACTGCTCATGAAATTTGTTACTAAATTATTGCACTTTTAAAAGAAGTAAAAAAATAATAAAAATTAAAAATAATATTTCAATCATACCTTATATTTTATAATAACTTATTACAGTGTTTTGATTAGCTTTAAAGCATGAGGGCTGAAGAGCCTGAATCTAAAGCATTGCACAGCAAAATATTTGCAAAACGTCTCCACGTATTTCCTGCACTAAAACAGCTCTGTGAGTTATCCACTGGCATTAGAGCTGGAGACACAGCTTGGAAAATGGCAGAAATGAACTGAAGCTGGAATCTGCTGTGCTCCTGCTGTTGGGAAGGGCCAAGCCTGTGTTGGGCTCAGAGGGTTAATGTGATGTAGGATGCCGAGGGATCAGGGATCGCTGTCTCTCACTAACCACAGCAGAACAAAGGCTCTATTGTGCTCACAAAGGGCCTGATTCGGGCCAGACTGAAGGCAGTGGGAGTTTTTCCATCTACTTCAGTGAACTTTGGATCAGACCATATAAAGCTTTTTGGTAGATTTACTCTAAAAGGGGCTGTTTTAAGTTTGAAAGAAGCCAAATTAAGTTTGGCACTTTGCCTGGAATCACTTGAATCCTGAAACTTTCCAAATGAGACTGACATGCGCGAGTTGTCACATTTTCCATTGCTTTCTCCTTCGTCCTTTACTTTTGATATAAATGTATTTGTATCTGTAAAAAACTGATGTATATAATTCCTAACATTGAGTTGTATATAATTGTCTCATGTATTTAAAGTTTATTATTATGTTTCTACTGGCACTAATTTTATTTAAATAAAGAAACACTTTTCCTGGAAAAGTCTCCATGTTTGTTCACTACGTCAAATAGATTTCCAGTAACGAGACTGGGCACAGTTTGTACAGGATCCTTTTCTTAGCCTCTTTTTGAAATGATTCCTTGTGTTTTATAGTACTGCAGCATTGCCCACAGGGCTGAGCCAGGTGCTCCAGATCTGCCTTCAGTACCTGTTGGCTCATCAGGGCACCGGCAGCATGCTCAGGTCCCCAGTGTGTGCAGGCAGAGCCACAGGGACACCCTCCTACAAGGAGGCTGGGGGTGCTGGTGAGCCACTAGGGAGGCTGGCAAAGCTGACCAGCTGCTGTGGAAACCTGCATTGCTTACTCAGCCTCTGGAAAAGTGCATTTTGAGTTTTTTGGATTTAGATTTGCATTGTAGGAAATTGTGTGGGCTGGCGTTGAGCTTACGGGCAAGTATCTGACACAGATCTCTGGTCCCACTGGATTTCCACTCTTTGGCCATGGTATGTAGCTGGCTTTACCACAAGCTTTAACCCTGGGTCTCACTGTTGCTTTGTCATTTCCAGTATTACATACAGGGGAGGTTTTGGGATTCTGGCTCCCATTGCAGAGGGTGAATGTTTAGAGGCAACTTTGCACTTCCCTAAATCTGTCAGGCTATGTACAGGGTCGCCAGCACTAGCTAAGACCTGCCTGTGTGGTTTGTTTGAGCTTGTTTCAAAAATCGGATTGCTATAGAGTTATATCTGCTTACTTTCCCACAAAACCTGCTCCGCTGTGCTCTGCTCTCTTCACTCACTCTCTATTAAATAATTCTGGGTCCTGATCACAAGCTCCTGTGGAGCTAAAGCTACCCATCAGCAAGGCTGTGTTTCCCTCCAGCAATGTAATCTCCTGGGACACCCTCGGTGTCCTGGAATAGCGGGTCAGTCAGTAATTGCATCTTCCACATTTACCCATGCCACTGTCTCAATGCTTCAGTGTTTCCATTGCCACAATAATGAATCAAGAGTCTTCTGACAGCACTGGTGATAAGAAGGAAAAACAGAACAAAATGTAAATTACAGCTCTGCTTTATAGATCAAAAAGCTTGCTTATTCCAGTGGTTTCTTGCATTAAAATTGAGCTGCTATGAGGGAAACACTGTGTGTTTCGGGGTCTGTTTACACTTGAAGTGAGGTAGTAAGCACGAAAATGTGGCCACCTTCTTGCAGACTGTGACAGAGCTATCCTTGGCCTGAGAGGTTTGAGAAAGCATGTGGATAGTTTTGTATATACTTGCATTTGTCTTTGTCCAAATTCGTATTTTGATGGCAGCAGGGAAAAAAAAAAGCAAAAATATGTTTTAGTCATTAAAGTTAATTGCATGTGAAGTGAATGCAATGATGCCTTGAAGACAGTCCAGTGACTGAAGATTGTCAGGTATCCATTACACCAAAATAAAAGAAGCATTGTTAGTTTTCAAAAGCTACAGATAGAAGGAAGAAAATTGCCCCCATTAATCTTGTTTCAAAATCTTTTTGATTGCTAAGGAATAAAAGGTAATAATATTTTTTTTCCAAATTGAATGACATTTCCAGTGTGCTTCAGTAACTGAGTTAAAGCAGATTCAGAGCTAATATATCTCGGCTTGAAGGTAATGATAATTGACCATAATTTGACTGAATGGAGATGATTTATTTTTTTACAAATGCATCCTTTCTTAGAAGAACACAGTAGTCAGGCTCCCGTTTCTTGGCAGTGCTATACCTCACATGTTTGCTGGAATAGTTAATATATACCCCCTTTGACAGAAGAGGAAAAGAAGGTCACATGAGGCATGTGTACATGGTCTGGCTCCAGGACCTACTGTAAACAAAAGTGCCAGCTCTCGAACTGCATCGGGATGTGTGGTAGTAGCTGTCCTAAATCCTACCAGTGGATCATGAACAGATGCACCTGTGAGGTTACTCATTCAACAGACTGAACCTGCTGAATAACTGAAGTGGAAATGCAGAACTTGTCTCTCCCTCAGGCACAGAAACTCCCAAGCTCTCCCAGCACTGCTGTGCTCTGCCAGGGAAAGAGTTAACCAGAGAAAGAAGGTTAATGAGAGAATCCACTTTCCTGGGACCAGAGCACTGGTCACAGATGGTGGTAAGTTAGGCCAGGAGCCTCATGTGTTACAACTCGTCACAAAACTTCTTTCTCCAGCTTGGCCCTCTCACAGTGGGTTCCCCTGGATCTGTCCCTTTCTCAGAAAAATGCCCACACTTACCCAAATAATCAAATCAATTCTCAAAGAGCTGGAAAAGAAGGAAACACATAAACTCTAACAGTCATTTCTGTTTCCAGGTCCTCAGTGCCTGCTGCTGGACAAGGGTAGGTGTACTGCTCGAGGACAGGGAGTACACAGGACCCCAGTGAAGACTGTGTTTTTGTCACAGCCATTTTAACCATGAGATTAAACCACCTGACTTTAATAATTGCCTAAAAATTTTTACGTTGGAAGGAGTCCACACCATGTGATAGATGAACCTTCTCAGAGGCACTCAAAGTGGGGTGCAGCACAGCTGCAACTGTGCCAAAACTGGACCATGGTCTCCTGTGGTTGTTGACCTACCATGGTCACATAATAATCTTTTTGGACCTTGTTGTTGTAGTGGGAAGATGATTTCTTCATGAGTTCACAGTGGCATTATAGATTGAAAATACCAGGCTTGTATCTAAGAGGCATAAAAGTTAATAAAATTGTTCAGGCTATTTTTTTCTATGCACTGATCATATTTCACTCCATGTATTTGTTGATTTGGTTTCATATTATTTCCATTTTCACATGCCTCTGAAGTTCCTACTACACACAGCCAAAAATAGATGCAGGATGAGCCACCTTCTTAGTGCATTGACACTTCTGTAACCAGCTCAACTAGGCAAGAAAATAAAAAATAATAGAAAATCAATGAGCACCAGAGTTTTTCAAAGCTTAATTTTTTTTGCTTTATTTTGGGTAGGGTTCTAGTTTGTACTAGGCCAGGTTAGATTGAAGCTTTTGCCACCTAAAAAAGTGACTAAAAGAAGGATAATAAAGGCTATTGAATGGTGCATTACAGGCAGTGTTCCCAGCTCTCTCCCCTGATAATCTGTTTTACTGTCTTGTGCTTCACTTGATTATCAGATGATGCCACATATATTGCTGTCTGTGTGAATATGATGTGTTCCTGATAGACACGAAATGCCTGTGAATCTCAGATGAAAGATATGGTATAAATACAAAGCATTTGCCCACCTAGGAACAACAAACTTTTTTGCCCTCCTTGATACTATTAGGTGTGAGGGTAGCCACTGGTAACAAATGCCAATTGTTAGCACTTGGCTACCACGGGAATATTTCAGCTCATCCCCCCTCAGGTCAATGGAAGCCCTGTAACAGGACCTTTTTGCTTGGCTGAGAGCTGGTAAGCAGGGCAGTCATTCTGGGATATGGGAGTCTAAATTCAGTTCTCCCTTCAGCTCCAGGTTCACTGCGGTACTCTGGAAAATTACTTGCTTTGGCTAAGATTCTAATTTATAAAGATCACATCTTCATTGTGTAAGGCTAATGTGAGAATAACCACGCTGAGAATTTCAGAGTGCTGAGCTCTGAGGCAAAGTGAGAAAAGGCAGATGAGTTGTTTATACTTGGAGAAGGAACCACGATATTAAAGAACTTCCTCCGGTGTGAAGTCCAGCTGTTTAGATGGGACCAGCATGTGATGCCTCCAGTGCCTGCAGCTTATCTGAAGCAAGCCTGCTGTGGGGCTGGTCCCCAGCCTAGCCCTCCCTGGGACAGCTGTGTCTCATCCCAGCAATGAAAACATCAGCTGAATACTGCAGGCAAGAGGATGTGAGACAGGCAACTGATTTTGAATTCTACCCTAGACAGTCAACAAAAGACCAGTCCTTTCCTTCTCTTCAGGAGGAAATGTAAACTGTGCACCTCTAAGGATGTATACAGCCCTTCTATTTCCTCCAAACACGATAAACTGATCAAGCAAGATTTCCTGTAAGAGACAAGAGAGGAAGAGACAAACTGCTGCTGCTACTATTTTTTATCAATAGGTATGGAGCAATACAGCAGCAGGCAGACTGCCCTTGAAAATTACACAGACAAGCCCCAGTGGTGCCTCTTTCAAAGCCTTAATGGAACACCCATTCCATCATTTTCCTGATGCTACAGAATGACCCATTTCTATTGCTGATCCTGTCAGCAACAGCAGGCCCACTGAGTGTCAGTAATTGCTTTCCATCCTGCTAGCACTGTGC